GCTTTCTGTACTGTTCCTTGCAAGACGTGGTCTTATGTCAGCTGCATACCATCACCTACAGTCTGGCATTCTGGTGGCTAGTGGATGGAAAGTCATACGTTGGGCAGGGCCATCACACTGAATATACGCAAACACCCCTCTGTCACTGACTTGATTCTACTGCATGCCTGGCACCAGACATAGTCCCAGAGTAAGACTGCTTCATAGCCAATGCTTAGCAGAAAGTAGCTACTCAACCCACGTTTATTGGATGTATCAATAAAAATGTGAAGGAAAGAAGATGGAGATGGATAGTAATAAGTAATTCTTGCATTTAAAGAGTTCCCACTGCCAGGTGTGGGTGCCTGCCTGTAATCCCAGGCTCAGAGATCAGGCGCAGGGAGAGGAGGAGCTCAAGGTCAGCCTGGGTTGCATGGTGAGACCCTGTCTCAAGAAATAAAATAAGAAGTTAAATAAAAGAAGGATCTCCAGTGCACTGGGGTTTAGAAAGATGCTAAATGAGCTTGAGTAGTAGCGGCTCACACCTTCACTCCCAGCACTCCAGAGGTAGAGGCAGGTGGGCGGATCTCTGTGAGCTACAACCTAGTCTACAGATCCAGGGCAGCCAGAGCTACACAGAGAAACCATGTTTCGAAAACAAAAACAAACAGACAAACAAAAAAGGAAAAGATGTCAAATGCTATTAAGTGAATCAATCGAGGAAGTACTATTGGGCTTCAGAAGAGAATTCAGGCTCTCCCAAGACAATCAGGGTCAGCTCCCTGGAAGAAATGGATTGTCAGATGGGCCTCAAAGGGTGGGGACTCATAGGTGGAAACTCGGAAAGACTATGTAGCTAAAGATGGGACACGGAGCCATCAAGGGGGCAGGAGATAGAAGCCATACTGGAGAAGACCACCTAGGGCAAAGCTACTCATAACTGACGCCACTGGAAATGGGGAGCTATTTAAGATCCCTAGGAGTTGGGGAGCAATGGCCTGGTCAGATCTTGGTCAGAAAGTCACAGTGGAGAAGGACTCTGGGAGGGAGGGACAAAAGGAGGCAAGGGACTGGTCAGGAGCCATGGCTGAGGCACGGGTGAGAGGCTGTGAGTGCGACTTGGGAAGGTGGCTGCCAAGTCAGAGACCATGTGAGAAGCTCTGCAGAGCGAAGAGGCTGACTGGATGAGGGGGGGAGTTCCAGGAGGAGCTGGGAAACAGATCTGGGGCTTGGGAGAGTTAATGAGGCCTTCTGGGGTGGGCGGCAGTGGGATCTAATGGGGGCTGCTTCCCTGGGGAAGGGAACGAGTTCACTCCACCTGGGTGGAGATGCTTCATTACGAATGCAGATGCCAGGCTCCGAAGGGAGGTCAGGGCTCCAGAGACAGGGCTGGAAGCTGGGTTGAAGCCGGAGCTGAGGCTGTGGGAGTGAATGAGATCACAAGAAGAGAAGATGGAAGATGAAGGCTGAGGACAGAGCCTTGGGGGCCACCCACAGTTGGGAGGGATAGAAGCAGAAATACGGGGGACCTGGGAGAAATTAGAGCATCCAAGATGTAGAAGGTAGAACCCTTTCTTTTCCCTCCTCCCACACTGTTAGGGGCCTCTGTGGGCAGGACCACAGGTGGCTGAGGGACTGCCTCTGGTACCTGTCCAGTTTCACCTCCAAAGCGTCACAGAGTAGCACAGCCCACTCAGGTACCTGGCTCCCTTACCCCTCCTTCTGGCTGTGACCTTGCAGAGCAGTGGGGAAGGGGGAAGGCTCAGGCTCCTTATCTTCCTAAGGGGATCACCACAAGATGATTTCTACGTTGTTTGCTGTGACGATCAAGTGGGATAATGCGTGTTATGCATTTGGCACTCGGGCCAGGCAAGTCCTCAGAGCTCAATAAATGCTGGCTGCTGCTATTATGATTATTACAGTGCCGGGACTCGGTTCTGGCGCTGGAGCTAGCACAGTTCAGATGCCCAGCAGCCTCTCTGGAGCTCTTGATGAAGGATAGAGACTGGTGATCTGCACTCGCTCCCTCCTGTGGTGCTGGAACTCGTCCTAAGCCCAAAGCTAGGGAGAGTAGTTGCAGGACACCAGGTGATCTGTGATCTGAAGGACTTCACACTCACTGCGGTCTTCAACTTCAGTTAGAGCTGGGCAGAGGTTGAGCACTTTCCAAAGTGCGATGCCTACTGGCTCTGAGGATGGGTCTCCTTCTTCGGGGAGGGCAAGGTCCTGTTCTCTCTTTTCCGTGACAATTTGTCAGCTCTTGAGGGCGCCGCCACGCCCCCTCCGCGCACGCGCACACCGTCCTCTCCGGTCTCTACTTGCACTCCAGCACTGGGTGGGGAAGGACGCTCCTCTCTGGGCTTGGCGGTCCACGACGGCCCCAAGCTGGGCGATCACCGGATGTCTGCTATTAGGAGCAAAGGCACCTGGTCGCTCTCCCCAACCGCCGATCCTCCAATTTTAGATCTAAACCCAGTCGAGGGGCGCCTTGAAAATTGGGAGCTGCCCACAGAGATCTTGGGATGGGACTGGGAGTGTATGTAGTTCAGCTGGTAAAGTGCTTGCCTAGCTGGTTCCATCGCCAGCACTACATAACCCTGCCTTACTGGTGCTTGTTGCCTCAGGCCCTGAATGATAGAGCTAGATCAGAAGTTCGTGGTTGTCCTTGACTACATAGCCTGTTGGAGGCCAAGCTGGGATACACTAAATTCTGTCTTGAAGGGAGGGAGTCACGACGTGGAGTGGGGTAGTGAAGACACTGGATTGTATGTTCTAGTTTTTGTCCCCTCATACTCAGAACCCTGAATCTGGGACTCAGAGCCTCAGTTTCCCCCTCTTTTAGCATCAAGCTATCTCATTAACCAGACCCCGAAAACAGGCCCAGAGACCCCATGGCTCTGACCTGTCTATCCTTGGAGTAGAAGCAGAGGTATGGTCCTCTGAAGTCTAGGGGCCACTAATCCCTCACCCCATCACTTCACATGGTATCCAGACTCCAGGAAGCTCCCTGGGAGGAGCAAGGCTTCATTCTTTATCAGCTTAGTTGGGGCTGGGGTCCCAAAGCAGTCTAGGTAGGAGTTTGATACTGGGAGGCCCCTGTTAACTAGGCCAACACTGGAGATGGGCAGTGTAGGCTGGAGCTGACCAGCTTGGTTCTCTGGGGGAGGTAGTGGCAAGAGCTTGGGCTTTGAACAAACCACAGACAGTTGCTGCAATATCAAAAAGAGCTCTTAGAGACTAATCACATACGGGGAATGGGGTAGCTGGCGAAAGAGCCTCTGCTTGGTTCCCATCAATGGAGGATCAAAAAGCATTTGGTCAAAGAACCTTTAAATACCTTGAAAGGCAGGTGAAGCCGGTTCAATGGGTTCCAAGAAGGATTAAAACACCAGTCTGAGCTGCAGACAGGCTGGCTCCAGCCACAGCAGTGCTGAAGAGAGAGGCCACAGAGGCCCGAGGGAAACGCTTTAGGAATAGATCCCCCTAGCCCACCTCTCTCATCACCCAGAGTCATCATGGGTAGGGCAAGGAGTGCTAAGAACAAGGCAGAGACTGTTGGAAGCCACCTTGTAGAGCTTCAGGACAAGGGAGCTTTCCCCAGAAACTATAGACCACACACGTACTGATAAGCAAAATGTTGGTTGTATCTGTGTCTGCATTTCTTCTAGGAAGATGAGATCCCCAGAAGGGCCTGAGACACTACCAAGATGGTAAAGCAGCACCCCTGTAGCAGAGAATGGTAACCAGATTCTCAGAAGAATTGAGGGTCTCACCCCAGCTCCCTGAGCTTGGCATCAGCCAGCTGAGGGATTTCCAAGGGGCCTCAGTCAGTCTCAGGAGTCCAGAGCAGCCCAAGAGTTATCAAAGAGGCCTGAGACAAAGCTGCCCATTAACACTGTAGCTGTCCCCGGAGGGATTGACTGGAAGAAGCCCACTTGTTTTCAGCTTGCCACAATAGCTGAGCAAAGGATGGATGGCTATCAGAAGGAACATGGAGAAGAGAGAGACAGGAGCACAAGATAGTTGGGCAGGTAAAGGCATCTGCCACCAAACCCTATGATCTGAACTTGGTGCTGGGAACTCATATAGTAGGAGAGAACTGACACACACACACACACACACACACACACACACACACACACACACATTTTTTTAAAGCTAAAAAGAGAGAGAATCAAGATGGGAGAAACACATGGGAGGACAGGTGATACGGAGGTGGGGCTTCTGGAAGAGAATGCTTCTGGACCTGCAACAGTTTCAGGGATTCTTGAGTGCCTGTAGCTGTGGAGAGGTCAGTCTAGGTCAGGATTCTTGATACTTTGGGGTCACCCATGGGGAGCCAGGAAAGACATCTTGCCATATCTTGCCAATGTATTTTGACATCTCTACAGTACTATTTTTAGCCCTGATGGGGAAATCAAGATCCAGAGATATCCAGTATGGCTAACAGCTAGAGAAACAGAGGCAGGAGCAGAGCACAGGACTAGAATTCTGCTCTGGATGTTGTGGCATGGACTCCATCTTTTTAGGACTAGGCCTCCAAAGCAGGAGTGTCTCAGGGCTAGGCATGGGGAGGAAATCCAAAAGTACTGATTACACCTCCTTGTGATGAGACAGGCATGGTGATAGCGGCCTGCAGTTGCTTTCTTGGTCCTTGCTGTCCTGTCCCTTCAGGGTGATGACATCAGTTTATTGTTCTTTTGGCACAGTATCTTTTATAGCTCAGGCTAACCTTGACTCCTGATCCTCCTGCCTCAATCAGCACCACACCTGGCCGATCTATTAATCCTATGGTTTTATCCTCTCCAGACTCTGGGCCTCTGCAGAGGAGGAAGGGGCTGACTGCAGATGGGGACAGGATTGTGGGACAAGCGCTTTAGACGGTACATTGTGTAGGCTGTGCTATCTGGCCTCAGCCTGTCACTGCTGGATGAGGCCAATGCTCAGTCTGAGTCTGTTGCCACATGGATGGTGACAAGGAGAGAGGTGTGTTTGTTCTATCACATGCACACACAAACAGCTTCCTCAGCATTTTTATTAATAATTCATCCTGTAGTCTGGTGGGTGGGGGTGAGGGGACAGGCACTGTAGGGAAACAGCAGCGTGGAGATCACGCCAGCAAAGAAGCTGGCGGACCCAGGAGTCCTGCCTCCATGTCGTGGCCTAGCAACATAGCCAGGTGGCCTCGGGGGCCCTGTTTGGGAGAGAGGAGGCCTGGCATCTGCTCCAGAGGGACAAAATGTCCCTCCCTGCTCTTACTCTCAGCCTGCAGCTGACCCAGGACACCTGATTTCAATGACTGCACCAGATGGGAAACAGGCCTGAGGGGTCCAAGGCATGCAGCAAGCCAATCCTTGGGCGACTAGGTGCTCTGAATGCTTCCTTCACGTCATGGAACTCAGGACATAGGGGCCCATCTGGAAGGAAAGGGCCTCTTCTGAAGGCCCCCTCCAGAGGCCCAGGACCTCTTCTAAGAAGAGTCAGGGCCTGAGGGCAGGGTTGGGGGGTGAGTAATTCACAGTCTCCTGGGTTCTTTGTCCAAGGACCTGAGCTCTCCTGCAGAATCCATTTCCTGCCTCTGCCTAGTCCTTGTGAGTGCTTAGAAGGCAGGAGCTCCCGACTGGCTGAGCTCTCAGGATGCAACATCAGGAGAGAATAGCCTTCAAATGTAGCAAAATGGTTTGAGGTTAGATTTCTTCTGAAGTGATTTCTTCAACAAGCAAAACATGAGAATGGAGAGTATACAGCATCTCTCTAAAGGATAAAAAAAATAATAGTAATCAATATCAAGAATCAATCAGATGCTTCAAGTATTGTTAATGGTGTCATCACATTTAATCTTACAGTAATCAAAGAAATAAGTATTGTTATCCTCATTATGCAGAATGAAGAAACCAAGGCCCCAAGACATATGTCTGTCTGCACAGGCTAACTACAACTGCAAATGGCAGAACCACATGAATGTGTATGTCTTCCTCTTTCCAGTGCCATTGCTTCCCCTAAACAAAGTGCCTGAGACCCACAGAAAAGGGTTTTTTAAAATCTTAGGGGGTTGAAGATTTACCTCAATGGTAGAGCAATTCCCTAGCAAGCACACAACCCTGAACTCAGTCCCCAGTACTCAAAAAATAAAAATAAAAAAGAAATAAATCAAACCCCACAATGCCCTGGAGCCTTGTTTTGCACAAAGAGATCTCTTGAGGTTTTATCTGGCATGTCTGGGGACTGTCCATCTCCATTGTTTTGGAGTAGTGGCTATCACATGGCTGCTGAGAGAATGAGGTGAGTTTTATTTGTAAGCCCTGGGGTGGGAGCAAATGGACGGCTTTTTTCATGAATCCCAGAATTGGCAAAAATGTGGGAATTAAACCGAGGACTTCTCCAGGTCCCTTAGCAGCACCTTGGGTTGTGAGTTCTCAGAGCTTCTGGCTCCCTGGGTCTCCTCTAGGGGCTTGACTTTCACCATTTGTCACCTGAGGAGGGGGCTTGGATCATCTCTCTGATGTCCTCATCAGTGCTAAGAAACTGGGAGCTTCTAGATGCCAAAGGAAAACCTTGTCAAGTTACAATGGCAAGGGATCATGCTGTTCCCCTTTCCTCTCTCTCAGGAGGGTGGGAGGGATCTGGAATAGGAAGATTTCTGAAGAGGGGCCCTTCCTGGATACCCACTGATGGCTGGGGTAGGGCATAGTGCGCGCTTGACTCTTCAGGAAGCACTGAGAGAGACAGATGGATTTGGAAGGCGGAATGAATGCAGGCTGGAGACCCTAGAGCCCCCACCTACCGGCTTAGCCCCCAAGGCAGGCTGTGACTAGTCCCTGGATTCTAGGCTGCAAGTGAGTGAGGGTGGCTACAGGATGTGGAACAAAATAGCCCTTGACCACAGGGTGAGGGCTGAGATTCCACTGGGGAATTACAGGCCTAACCTACACATGCTTTTTTTTCCCCTTCCATTTTTAATTAGAATATTCAATCCCAGGAAATCTGTTTTCCACCGGAACAATCCTAGAGAAGGTTTGCTGGGGGAATTTCCTTATCTACTTCTCAACCGGAAAAGCTGTGGGTGGAGGTGAATATGCGTGTGGTGGTGGGGGGGGGCGGTAACCTCCATGTGAGTTTCAGGGAATGGTCTGTGTGCTGTGTTGTGTGTGTGCGAGTGTGTGCGCATGAGCGCAATGAGGGACACTTGGAGCAAAGATTGTCCCCGTGGGTGCTGGCTGCCTGTACCACGAGTGAGGTGGAGGTGTGGGAGGGCATACTTCAGGCACAGTATGAAGCCAGCTAGGTGACCTTCTGGGAGCAGAAACCTCCAGTGCTGGAAAGCCAGGTTCACTTGTCACCTGCATGGAAGGAGGGATGCTGACATTTGCAATCCAAAGATGGTGCTGTCTTACCCACCCCTTTCAGTCCAGGGTAGGGGCACGACCTGCACGGTGGGAAGGGTCTGGGACTCTGTGAGCTAGACGGCTTGCATGCTTGTGTGTACTGAGTCCCTGTGTAGATGTGTAAGGAGACCTGGTACCTGATCCCCATGGTTCGGTCCTGGGCCTTCAAAGTTCTTGGGACATGATTCTGCCTCTTCCTTGCCCCAGAAGCAAATAGTCTCAGTTCTGTAGAGAAAAACGGAGTCCTCCAGATTTGGAAAATGTTAAACAGATCAAGGGAGCAGATAGCAGAGAGCGCGCCAAGAGTCCTCAAGGTTGACAGGAGAAGGGGATTTCATTTCTTTCAGGGGCACACTGGGACAAATGAAAGGGGAGGCCCGGGAGAACAGGGTCGAGAGAGGAATGAAGAGGGGCTGAACAGCTGCTCTCTTTGCTCCCGGAGCTGGGATAGATGGGAAAGGTTGCGATGCGTAGTACCCCACGGAAGGTGGAGATTCTAGTCCTATCTGTTCCTGCAGCGCACCAGCTCTGGGAAAGACAAGACTGTCAGGCCGAGGCCCAGCGCAGGCAACAGATTCCATTCCTGGTTTTGATACCCACCAACCCTTCTTCCTAGGTCCTCCGCTGTTCCCAGTCCAGAGCTAACGCCCTCGAGCGGCCACCAAGCGGAAAACCCGGGTAGGATCTCCACGCCTTTCGGAACGGAGTCAGAGGGCACCTCGGAGGAGGTGGCCAGCTGGGCGACCCTGTGGCGTGCGAGTCCACCGCCACCCGTGGCTCACGAGCCGAGTGAGTCACATCTTCCATAATCTGAACGAACCTAGCCGTGGAGCTCCGCGATCCTTCCAAGCGGGGCTTCGCGAGCGCTTGGGGTTTGCGGGGCGGCGGCCGTGCCCTCGGGGCGGCACCGGGCGGCGGTGGCTAGTCCAGGGCTGCAGTGCGGAGTGCGGCCGGCAGTGGGCGCGGCAGTAACAGTGGCCTTGGCGCTCGGCGGCGAGCGGGCGGCGCCGGCGGTGCCCCGGGCGCACACACACATACACACACTCACGCACGCACGCACACACATACATACACACACACACACACACTCCGCCTCGTACACACTCACACACGCTCCGGCGCGCACACGCGGCGCGCAGGCCAGAGGGAGGAGGCTCCGCGCGGCTCGGCGGCGGCGGCGGCAGCGTGCTCCGCGGGCGGCCGGGAGGGCTGGCGGGCGGCCCCCGCTCCCCGGCTCCGCGGCTCAGTGCAGCCCGCGCGGCCCCCGCCCTCGGACCCGCCCCCGGGGGTCGCCCGGCCCCATGCCCTGCAGCGGCGGCAGAGTAGCGCGCGGCCGCAGGCGGCTCTGAGGAGCCCAGAGAGAGCCGGCGACGAGGGGACCATGTACCGGGACCCGGAGGCGGCCAGCCCAGGTAAGCGCGGACCCGCGCGGGCTGGGGCGCCCCGTACCGGCGGGCAGGATGGCTGCAGCGCCTGGTCGCCGTCTCGGAGCCCCAGCCTAGGGCTGCTGTCGGCTGGAGCCGCACGAATTGCACCCCTTCCTACCAGGGTTATCTCAGTCCCGGGGGCGTGGGTTCTAGCGGCAGAGATTCAGACTCAGACCCCGCAGTCGGGACGTTGCTAGGCTGGATGCCCAGGGCCGGGTTCGCAGTGTCCCCACAAGGACCTCCCCCCCAACCCCCAGCAGCCCAAGGACAACGTGTGTGGCGGAGCGAGAAGCTGCTATCCCCGAGGGAGCCGGGCAGTGCCTTCAGAGGTACCCCCTGCTCCCCAGCACCAGTGCCCTGGGGATGTTAATGTTGGGGGACCTCGGGGCAAGGAAGATCCTGGCAGTTTTGGGCCAAGATTGTGGGCACAGAGGAGCGGAGTGTCATCTGCGGTGCCAACTGTGAATTGAGAGGGCTCCAGGGGGCAAGTGGGAATCTGGTGCAGCGGCGGGGGGTAGAGGCTTCTGGGGGGTGGGGAACCGCAGGAGCGGTGAAGGGGAGGCAGGGGTACCTGAAGAGAAATCTCAGCGGCTGATGACAATGGGGGTGGCCAGGCAGTGTTCTCCTGGGCTTGGGGAGGGGGACGCAGAGAACATCAAACTCACTCCAGTCCTACCAGGGAGGGAAGGGAAGGGGGCCGCACCCCTTTGCCTTTCTGAAAGGGAGTGGCCTGGGAGCCCACTGTCAGGCTTAGCATCCTTCTAGCATCCTTAGAGCCCGTGCCAGGAATCTCTCCTTCCTCGGGAAATTGCTCTGCCATTTCCTCCTTGGCTCCTGACGCCTCCCCCACGCAGTGCCCACCTGTAGACAGGTCCCCTGCAGCTCCTGACCAGGCTCAGTTCCATCCCACTTGGGATGCTCTTTCAGACACAGCTTAACCCCTTACCCCCACTTGTTCAGCCTCCTGGCCTCCGAGGTCTGTTTTTGGGCTGCTCTCCAAGGCTAAGAGCGCGGGGCTCCAGCCTAAGACCCAGTCCTACAAGAGTCTCTGGGTTCCCTGCTGTGGGTCCTGGGGGCACTGAAACCCTCCACAGAAGGGGACTCCAGCCCTGAAGCTCTGCACAGCAAACGGGTCGACATTGGCTTTGCCCATTTGTGCCCAATCCACACATGCTGTCTTCTCTCAAGGGGCACTCCAGTCTCACTGAGGTTGAGCTACTGGGTGGCAGACATTGCACACACTGAAGGCTTGGATCTGAGACTCAGTCTCCTCTGGGGCTTCGTGCCCTTCTCTGAATGTCCTCTAGGTGTGGGCTGAAGGGACATTACCTTTGAGGGGCCCTTTCCTCATCTGTCTGAACCCAGTTCACCTACCCTGACATTGTTCCCTAGGGAAAGGCAGCTTCCTACACTTGGACCAAAGGCAGGGGCATCCTTTGGCTTGGTTCACTCTCGGCAGTCAAGTTCCGAGCCCAACTCAGGAAAGAAGATGGAAGGGACAGTCTCCATTGCTGTTAGTCCACTGGCCTAGGGCCATGCCTTCATCCAACCACTCTTCTCCTTCTAATACTTTGGCACGGTGACATTACCACTCCTCCAAGCACCTCTGCCCTCTCCACAGAGGCCAACCTGATGTACTTGGCATCTTCTGGGCAAAGGGCCTGGATTCCACAGCTGTTCCTGACAACCTGGCAACCCTGAACCTTTTCTGTCTTGCCCCCTTGAAACTGCAGGGTCCCCCAATGCCGAGGCAAGGTTGGTCCTGACTGTGAAGGAAGCTGGCGAGGTCTTCTTCTCTCTTGTGTGGGCGCTGGGCTGGTAGAACCAAAAATAGGTCGTAGGGAGTAGAGTATGTTTGAATTCTGCTCCTCTGGGATCTCTGAGGCCCTTTGTGACCCTTAGTATCACTTCTAAGAATCCTTATAGTTCCATGCCAATCTCCCATCCCTAGCAGCTTCTCAAGGTCTGCTACCCACAGCTAGGGCCCTATGTCCCCCATTTCCAACCACCCACAACTCCCCTTTGCCTGGCACCAGGTAGGAGTGAGATGTGCAAATTAATTCCTGTGTGACTCAGAACAGTCCCTCATCTCCCCTCTGGTCCCACAGGAGCCAGTACCTCTTACAGCCTGGTCTCCTCATCCACCCGTCTCAGGAGCACCTGTGGCCCACTGTTGTTTTGTTAATAAATAAATAAGTAAGTAAATAAATAAATAAATAACAGATACCTTATCTGCTCCTGCTCCTCATGCCCTGAGCCAGTTCCAGAGGGTTCCTATGGTATTCTCTCTCCCTCTGTGCTTTCTCTCTGTCTCTGTCTCTCTGTGTCTGTCTCTGTCTGTCTGTCTCTCTCTCTCTGTCTCTCTGTCTCTGTCTCTGTCTCTCTCTCTCGGTCCCTCCAGGGCTCATCCTAAGACTAAGGCTTTATCTGATGGGAGCTCTTCCCTTCCCCCATGGTGCTGGCCCCCAGACACTATTACTCCTGTTACTATAAAGAAAGGGGTGTCAGAAGGCAGCAGAAACTAGATGGAGAAAGCAGACCTGTCCCTTCCCATGCACACCCATGAGCTCCTGCTCCAGATTGCCCAGCCACCTCTGCCCTGCCTGCAGCCCCCCCCCCCATCCTTTATCCTCTTTGTCCCAAAGCTGGCCTGGCCTGCCTCCTTAGTCTGTCTGACTGCCTGTCCCCAGGCTGGGCAGGGCCTCAGCAGGCCTGCAGGGGTCAGCGTTGCAGTGGGTAGGCAGGACAGGCAGGACAGCAGTGGGAAGGAGGAGAGAGGGAGAAGTGACCTTGCAGTGAGCCAGTGAGCAAGGCCAGAGAGAGAAGGGCTGGGAGAGAGAGGTTAGGCCCTGAGGGATTCCCACTTAGTCACCGGACTTCTGGGACTCGGTTAGTCCAACTGGACAGCAGTGCCTGAAGCCTCCATCTGTTCCCCCTTCCACCTGTTAGTGGACTCTGTCCCCTACAGACACAGACACTCCATTAGGCAGGTCATTCCGTAGGGGTAAAGGTGATTGCATATATATATATATGTATATACATATATATACATATATATATATATGCAGAGGACTTTGGCATGGCAAGGTAATTGTCTAAGTCGCCTATCTACTCCCTGGGTACAATTTAAGGGCCACGTCTGTCAAACGGTTGGTGTGAGGCTGGAGTTAGGGCTGAAAGAACAGACTAAGTTTATGGTATAAGGACCATGGATGGGGTCAGGTCCAAGGCTGGGTGTGGAAATCCAACAAAGCCAGACTATCCCACAATTTTCCTGACAACTGCTCTCCGGGGACATCCCTCGCCTAGCTGACCCCATCTGCACAGGCTCCCTTTACTGTTGTGCCTGTGTCCTGTGCTTGGGGCAGAACTTAGTACTTCAGAACACATTGTCCCTCCAACAGGTATGGCAGGGAGGGGGTCTGAGGAGAGCAAGTCTGACACTGGGTTGGGAGAGGATGACCTTTGGGTCTAGGGGCCCCTCTAAACAACAGAGTTGCTGTGGAGTCAGGCCTCTCACTAACTCTATGCTGTTCTGTGGTCTTGGGAGGACAGCTTGACCATCAGGCTAGGTGTCTATGAACACAAGGATTGAGAGATCAGGTTGGTCCTGAAGCTCCTCTTTGATGGTAGGGGTGCCACAGAGGTTGGATCACGGTGATAGGTCAGCTTGTGATAGGTGGGAGGAAAGCTACAAGGCAGGGGATCAGGTAGGTGGGCATCCAGTAAACTAAGAGAGGTCTTTAGGCAGCTGGTCCGGGCCCTAGTTGACCCACAGGCTCCGAGGGCAGCAGAGCAAGGGCCCTCCAGCCCCTATATGAAGCATGTCATGAGGGAAGGGCGCAGGAGGAACATGCGGTCCCCTCCTATCCACCTCCACCCTCCACCCACCCCTCTCTTCTCTCAGGGACTTTGAATTCTTATTGAATCTGATGGACCGTTTTCAATAACTGCTTCCCCCAGGGGAGTGAGGCCCAGAACAGCAGGGGAGTAGCTGCTGAGGGGGGTATGTGGTGGCTGGGAGGCTCAGTCCTGAGTGGAGGGGGAGGAATTGGTTCCATGGGCTCCTCAGAGATACTGAGATGTTCCAGGTGGGCACAGACATCTGTCTCTGTGTGTAGTCCCCATTCCATGGTCAGTGCCCACAGGTGGCACTCGTGGCCAATGAGGTCAGCTTTTTCTATCAGGGCAGTCACTGCTCTGGCCAGGTGCCGGAGCCAGCCTGTGCCAGGCTAAGCCTGGGTACCCTTCTACCTTGCCAGGGAACCCCAGCCAGTGGAGCCAAGAGAATTGTGCCAGTTCCATGGACATTGAGGTGCTGACCTTCAGGCAGCAGGGGGTAGCCCTGCTGGGCTCTGTCCAATTTGCCTCTGGAGGGCCAGGCTTAGTCTCACCCAGCAGAATTCCCTGAGGGTTGGACCAGAGTTGGCAGACAGCATGGAACCTGTGGAAGGGACTGGAGAGAGCTCAGCATCTATGCCTTCATTCCAGCCCGTTGGAAGAAAGGTGGGCTAGCTCATCGGCTACTCAGGAAGGCTTGGCAGCTTCTACCCAGAAGGAACTCTTGGGAAAGGTGTGTCACCCTGGGTGGGTGGGCCTGAAACTGAGTTATATGGTGGGCTGAGATGTTTGGGGAATTGGTATATCCACGTGATAGAGCATGTGGGGCTCCAGTGAGGGGGAAGGGGAAGACAGGATGGTGGTAGAAGCTTGGTGGCTGTGTGTACCTACGTGTGTGCGTGTGCGGGCGGCAGCTGGCTGGCCGTAATAGCTGTGCTCAGTGCCGAGTGCCCTGCCCGCTGTAAACAGCGGCTAATGAGTGTATTCATAGCGAGGTGCATTGAGGTGCGCGGGGAGCTGTGACGGAAAGCTTTGGGGAGGGCCCCTCCCCCAGCCTTGTACTCAGCCTGGCAGGGTGTGGGCTCTCTAGGGATCCTGCCTGCCCCCTGCCACACCCTTAACCTGCCACCTTAGCCACCTCTGAG